CAGCAGCAGCAGTAGCAGTAGCAGTAGCAGTAGCAGTAGCAGTAGCAGTAGTAGTACTACTAGTAGGAGTAGTAGTACTAGTAGGAGTAGTAGTAGGAGTAGGAGTAGGAGTAGTAGTAGTAGTAGCTGGCGGTGGCAAACTCTTGTCTTATTCCCTGGCGCGCTCCCCCTTGCGTCAGCCGGGGTCGGCGGATATAACAGATTATAATTATGATAGGATGAACATGGTGAAATGATATATATATATGTGTGTGTTATATATATATGAATATAGAGTATATTTAAATAATTATATATACGTATGATATATAGGAATGTAATGACACAATGTAACACAACATACAGGGGAGAGTATAACGACATGATAATACAATAGAGATCAATAGAGTACATAACATGAGTCGAATAACACGTTATCAAGTGAGTCGAAGCTGTATTGGTCAATTGGTAGTCACATGTAGCCCACTGCGGGCTCTACTGCTGTTTGTCAAGCCCCTTTTTGGGTTTATGTGGATCAGAATTAGATATGCGACACAAGACATCGCAAGACCACAGCAGATCTTTGAGCTAGAGGCCTCTGACTCCACTATGAATTCAGTATTGGTTTTTGGAGGCTGGTGTCCAACACATTCCGGGATCGCTCTCAAAAGTCCATATACTTGAGAGGGGTGATGAGGGTTGTTCTGGGTGTGTTTGTTTCAGCTGCAGGAGGGAGAAGACTTTACAGCCGCGACAAGTGGTGGGCTGCTTATTGCTGGCAAAAGCTCCTGGCCAAGCTACATGTTCACTTTCAAACTTTTCCTATCTATTCCTATCTACTCCATTCGTTCCTACATCCAACATTGCAGGCATCATAGGCGATGGTTACACTATGTTACACTATGGTTATATCATTTTCAGGAAATGCCCCTTTATCAGAAAAATCCACGTGGATGCGGTCCAGGCAAGTCCAAGTGTATAGAGACCAGAGATTTGGGGGTCTGTTTGGGAACCTGATCAGGAAATAGCCCTCGCCTCTGCATTCTATTGATTTCTATTGGCTTCTTGATTCTGTGGCCCGATGTTCGCCATCCACGCGTCCCACCTGGTCCCAGATTAAACACGCGCGTACACCATCGTACACCTGCATCTCCGCATCTCACTCTCCGCCGTGACGCTGAGGTGACTGTTTGTTTAGCAGATGGAGAAGGAGCCATTCGCAATGCTTCCGCGCGGCTTTTGGAAACGCTCCCTGGCTGAAGTCGAGAGCGATCAGGTCACGGACAATAGCAATTCTGCTCAGCTGACCAGGACTTTCCACACATATCAGGCCATGTACATGCTATGTACTTGTGTCATCTTGTATCATATCTTAATGTCTTGTGTCATCTTGTGTCATATCTTATATATCACCTTGTGTCACGATGTACTTCTCTAAGGCTGCGACTCCGGGTGCGAGTGACTCCAAAGCGTGACGTTTCACGCGGAAACACCGACATGCCTGGCATCTTCGCCAAGCACAGGTTGGGTGAGAGCGGTCTGACATAGTCTGACAGCATGTTGGAGATGATGTTGGCTGACTGGAAAGGGGTGAGTGGCGAGTTGTCATACTGCCTCTACAAAGATTACAAAGTCCTTTGGCCCTTCTGATACATTGGCTGAACGGCCATGAACGGCCCAAAGTGCAGCCTTGTTTTAGCAGAACTGCGGCGGGAATCGTCTACCTTGAGTTTCATGTTCAAAATGTTTGAAATCGAGTGCAACCCAGAAGTGTGTTGTGAGACAAAAGTCTTAAAGGCTCTCAACTTATAAAATTTTATGAAGCAAAGAAGTTCTTTGAAACTTAAAGACTTAAAGGTTCTTTTTTGAATCTAGTCATGATTTCAATCTTTTCATACCAGTTGCAGCTGCCGTCCAGGTTGGGCGACATCTTGCTACGCCGGGGTCATGCTGCAGAGGCCTTTGCCTCAGATCACTGAGAGTGAGAGATCTGAGAGCAGGATGAAAACATGATAAAACATGATAAAACATGAAAAGACCTGTAGAAAACATGAAAACCCACAAAGTGTGGGACAAAGTGCCGTCCTACAGAGATCTACAGAGTCTCTATATGTCTCTATGTCCCACCACTGTCCTACCCATCAAGGTTTGTTTTCGGTTGAACACCGAACACCATCAATGTGAAAAGACAAAATACTTGATATTCATTGATAATCTCTACTTGTCAGTCTTCTTTGCAATCTGAACTCTTTGCCAGATTCACATTGTCTCACAACTCAATCAGCCCGAAACCACTCACTTTCCTTGGTTCGGAAGGCGGTGTTTTGATGGATGGCCATCTCTTAGCATATCGTAAATGCAGTTGAAACATATCGCAAAGACGTTCCCAATGCACATCTCTATTATTGCGTCTTTCCACATGGTTATCTAGATGTATTTCAAATACACCGTACACACATCTAGACCCCGTAGACTGTCATATTCAAAACTAATTCTACCGAGGCAGAACCCTTGCTGCGGGACTTGCTTGCCAGTTGCGAGGAACAGCTGGGCGAGAAGCATCCAAGGAGCGGGCAGCAGTCACCCTGGACTCACCTGGTCAGCAGAACATACCAGAGCCAGACCTGCCAGAACTGATATGTCCGCTGTTTATTTCTTTGTATTCTTTCATGTATTTCCGAAAACGGACCACATGCACAGTGTCAATGCATGTCAATTCATGTCATGTTGTGATATGTCAATTGAGGCATTGAGTCATGATGTCGCTTGGCGGTTGCTTGGCCCACCTTGGCCTCAGGAGCCTCAGTGCCATGCACCTTTTGGCTTTGGCCACAAAGACCACATCGACCTCTGAGGCTGTGATCTCTGCCAATCTCTGCTCGGTTCAGATTCAGAACATGTTTGGCACAACTCCGCTAAGTTCACATCGCAGGCGAAGAAAATGCTTCGCAAAGGAGCGCGTGATGCACGGAAATTGGGCCTCACTCAACAAGCACTTGGTTTCATGCGGGATCTGGGCACCTTGGCTTTGGACCTCAAATGACTCAATTACTTTATTGAATTTTATTGACTACTCGAATAACTTTATTCAATAAAGTTTATTGTAAAATAATTATTGTAAATCTAAATGTGTGCTGTGCAGCTGCTGTAGCTTGAGACTGTTCCAAGATCTTCCAAGCACAGGCGGACATCTGAGGTCTTTTGCTGCAAGGTCAGGGTGAGTTCTTGGAGGCCGAGGAACTTTTCAAACGGGTTCTGCGAGGCACCAGGGGATTTGGCAGAGTGGGAAGAGAGGCTCTACATGCGACACACACCATATTGCATAATCTGCATAATATTATATAATATTGCTATATTTGCTATACAATATTCTGATCATTTCTGGTTTTTCGTATGGATACTGTGGAAGTGGAAGACTTGGCGTCCAGGTTTACCGTTTGGAGCTTGTCTTGGCAAGGTCATGAGGAGTTGTTGGGCAGTTCTCATCCGGAGACGATGAAGACCTTGGGCATCCTGGCCGAGTTGCTTCAGGACCAGATGACCAGATCAGCCAAGTTTCTGTACGCGAATCAGCCACCCTTATGATGGTGAAGAGTTGTGCTGAGAAAAGGGTCTTCAGCATCTTTCTCAATGTGAAGTACGTTTCAGCAAATTGACAATGTGATTTGCTCTAGCTAGCTCTAGCTGTTCAAATTCTATATGACTCTTCATACACTGACATGCGAGGCCGGAATTGCCAATAATTTTCAGCTGCTTTGGGGAGCGGCTTGCTATTTCACATTTCATCACTTTAGCATTTTCGAAGGAAAAGAGACACTAAACTCTGGCGCCATACTCATACTATGGAATCCAAGGCACTTTTGCATAGTATGAGTATGGCGCCAGAGTTTAGTGTCTCTTTTCCTTCGAAAATGGTCATATGAATGCGTAGGTTTTTGTTATCCTTAGAATGGGTCGTTTCCACAGAATTCTGCAATGCTGCAATGCTGCACCAGGAGCAGGGGGAGGCTATGGAGGCTGAGAAGATCTACTGCCACGCGTGTGGCTTAGATCGGCTCGATCCGCTCGATCCAGCCTGTCAGTCGTGAACACTTGATTCAAGCAAGCCACATCCGACAAGAACTGCTCGGCTCCCATCGGCATTTGAGACCTAAAACACAATGATCTTGCCGGATTTGATCCATGTGCAACGCATCTGCAACGCATCTGCAACGCATCTGCAACGCATCTGCAACGCATCTGCAATGCATTTGATCATTTTTTGCCCAGCAACAAGGCGCTGAATAAGAGCGAGGAGTTGCTTGGAGCGTGGCATCCGTGGACCTCCAACTGTCGCTAAGCTGTCAAAGAGGAACGCTTCCTAAGCTGGTTGGTGGTTTGGAACATTTTTTCCATATCGGAATAATCATCCCAACTGTCCCAACTGAATAATATTTTTCAGAGGGGTAGGTAATGGTAGGTATACCACCAACCAGTAAGGCACAACAAAGTTGGATATTGTGGGATGGGCAGTTTGGGGATGGTCTCGTGGCCTTGTGGATACACTTCTGGCATCTTCTGGCCACCCAGGTGGGCATCACTTGGGGTGTTTACTCCAAAGGAGACGGATGATGTGGGACACTGCAGTAAATTCGAGTGAAACACACTATCAATGCGAACAAACAGTCTGTAGAATCAGCTTTGAACACTTCCACTTCATTCATCCTCATTCCACCTCCTTATTCCGATCCGTCCTTCGCTGACGGACAAATTCAGGGAGTTATTTTAGGTCAGAACATGTCAGAACATCGATGTACGTGTTCGATCATTTTTGCGGGATTTGATAAGAAGTTGATCCGTTTGCAGCATCCTGCGGCACCCACCAGGAGGGGCAAACTCTTCAAGGCGGGTGAACGCTTTCGTCAAGCCTTGGCGGGTCAAGAGGAGAGTGCCACTGTCGTCACACGGTCGTTACACAGCCGTCACACGGTACACGTGGCATTCGTCGCATTCTCCGGTCGCGCAGGAGCAACTGGGCTGCGTTCACCCCGAGACCCTGGCGACAGCATCGCACTTGGCCAAGGTGCTGCAGGACATCGTTGGGGCCGTTAGACATCGTTAGAAACTAGATGTCACTAGATGTCTAGGTGACGATGCATGACGATGCATAACAACGTTCAACGAGAATCGCACGGAGATTTGGATTTTTTGGACATTTGGACCTTCCAGGACCAAGGTCGTTTGTCAGAGGCTGAAGACTTCTTTCGTCGAGCGATGCAGGCAGTGTGACATTGTGTGGCAAGTCTGCAGACCTAGTGTTTTCATAGAATCTTTGACCTTCAAGCTTGATTTGGAGTCTGTCGAAGGTCGAGTTGAATCATGAATTTTTGAGTCAATGCGGCCAATGCACGTTCCAAAGCAATTTTGTTGAGTGATGTTGAGTGCATGTATTGTTCCGACAGGGACGCGAGGAGTTGGGCGCGGTGCAAGCTGTTGATGCAACCCACGATCTGGCCACGTTCTTCCGCAGTGTGGGCAAATTGGCCAAAGCCAACAGTGTCTGGGCGCAGAAAGAGAGATTGATGTTTGAGGGGCTTGTGCATGTTGCAGTCCAGACACTCTGCGTTTTGAATCACAAGTCACGATGTTAAGTGATAGATCAGATAGATCACATCTGGGTGGAGACTGGAGACCACTGTTTCGCTTCGCACTTCAATTCTCAGTGTTCCACGCATCTTGACTTTTTGCAAGATCTCATGTCTTGTTGCTGCATCTGACCGGAATAAATTCTGCACCGTCATTGGAAAATTGCTGGATACTGTCAACAATTCAGGGCTGTAGAATGTTGATGAATGTTGTAGACTGATCAAACAAAGCAGAGCACTGTGCTAAACGGTTTGGACCTGAGGCATCGTTGATAAGTTGGCAAGTCAGCTTCAAGACGATGCTCGGCCAAAATACCAATAGGATAGAATAGGTCTGCCTTTCAGCAGATCTTTCAGTCCTGGATGAATGATGCCTCTGAATTCAATTCATGGTCAGGGCTCACATTTCTTGACACATGGATTTTGAAAGTTTGAGAAGCAAACTGCTAGACAGATTAGCACTGATGTTTTGGGTGGAAGGGTGGGACCTGCCTCAGTATTGGCTCTGCAGGTCCACCCGATTTCTAAGGGATTTGAAAGTATCATGTTAGTGGGACTCGCGCGGGCATGATGTTGCCACCGGCTGCTGATCTCATCGGCGTGGTCGACCTGCAGGGCATCCGTGATTTGGTTGGGATCCCCCAGGCGGTTTGGACGGCCTTCACTGGTCAAGTGGGGGATCCCGGGACGAGCATTGCCTTCTTGGCGGCGTTGCCAGCATTCATCGTGTCGCAGGCCTGCTCGGCCGCCCAGTTTCCTGATGGCACGATGTTCAACCCTATCAATGCCATGCAAGTGGGGCTGGTGTGGCGAGTCTGCCGCAAAGCTATGTTCATCAAGAACGGAGGTGCAGAAGAAGACTTCATCGACATAGAGCCTCGGAACGATCCTGGCTCTTCATCTCAGGGACATCCTGCAGTAACCGAAGGGACTACAAAAGCGACGGGAGTGAAGGAGCATGTCCTCAAGATGGCTTCCCTTGTGGACCAGTCAGATGAGTCCGAGTTGATACCAGCGGCCCCGGACAAGGTGCAGGAGTGGATACAACGCTACATCACCACCATGGGGTCCCCCCCGGAAGAGGAGGAAGAGGCGACCGATGCTCAGCTTGCAGCATTGTACAAACGTACAGTGGTGCTCAAGCAGGCTCCTTACTGTGACTTCAGCGTGTGGACGCCGTTCGGAAGGAGGGCACTGAGGAGCCAGAAGTTTCGCACGTTTGTGCCCTTGGGGGATGGCAGCTTCTTAGCCAAAGAACTCCCTGGACCTCAGAATCTACAACAGTGGATGGCGTCTTGGAGGGTGTTCAAGGTCGCTGCAATATCCCTGGGCATCATCTCCTTGGCGTCCCTCCAGCAGTACGAGAAGACGGTGGAGAGGTTGACATTGCACTGGCCTCAAGCTTGGGGGCTGATAGCCTTGGCGGACGACAAGGCTAGGGCGGAGCGCTTGGAGAAGATCCGTCGTGGACTTGTTGCAGACCATGGATCGGGGAGAGACTTGCCACCGGGTTGGAATCCTGATAGCCCTTGGTCCGTGTGCTTCTCCCTCCTGGCCAAGGATGACACCTTCTGGTCGGAACAGGTGAGGCACCCCGCTTCAGCATGGCTGGCTGCCGGAGGTCGTGGAGCTCTACTGGCACCAGCAGAGACTATCGCTTCTACCCATCTTGCAGGCGGTGGTGAGGCTCTCAACGCTCCAAAGGAGGACACAGACAAGAGGCGCCAAGCCAACCGCGACAAAAGAGCGGCCCGCAAGAGAAGATGGGCTGAGGACAGGGAGGAGCTGTCCAAGCTGAAGGCGCAGAAGGAAAGTCATGGACGTGCTGGAGGCAAAGGCACAGGTAAGGGCAAGGCCAAGGACAAAGCAGGGGCAGAGATCTGCTTTAGTTGGGCCCAGGGAAAAGGGGCCTGTGCAGACGTGCCCGTTGGCAGCGAATGCAAAGGGAAAGTACGTAGGGCCCACAAATGCCAGATTTGTTTGTCCCCTGGCCATCGCAATGACGCGTGTCCACAAAAGTGAGACGCTGCGTTGTGTCGCTTTCGCACCCGGGTCAAGACAGGACCTGGGGAATCTCGGAAGCGATTTGGTTTCAGTGAAAAAGGGGGTGGCCGGGTCGAAGTCAAACTTGTTGGCATTAGGGTTTGATTAAACTTGCAAACGCAGGAAACCGGTGAGACTCTGAACATCTTAAACGAAGGGTCGGGGTTTGACTTGAGTGTAGGTTTGTTGTTCTTTCTCCAGGCAGGTTCAGGTGTGCTAGCTGGTTGAATTGAAAAAAAAAACACTGAATGACATGTTGCACAACCTTTGCATGGCCAATCCATGCATGAACAGTATCATGGACGCCCCGTGCTGCAGGTGTCAACGGCCCAAGCGACGTGGGGCCATGGAGCCTGGTGAGGAGGCCGACTGGGACCCTGACGACACCAGCGTCATTGAGGGCGAGTGGAACCCGGAGGCGCTCAGACTTTTGAAGAGCGACCCGGACTTCGCGCAGTACAAGAAGGACCGAGTCTTCAAGTTCATCCACCTCTTTTCTGGGCCCAGGGACGTACTGAAGGAGGCGCTGGAACAAGAGGCCAAGAAGGAAGGGGTACAGATCAAGGTCGCCTCGTATGACAAGTTGGGGACCGGCGGACATGACCTTGCTGCAGACGAACCCTTCCTGACCATCGTGGGGGAGGCCGACACCACTGACGGATACCACAGTGGGTATCCATGCGGCTCCTTCTCCATGGTGAGGAGCAAAGAAGGTGGACCCCCACCAGTGCGGTCGAGGGAATGGCCGTATGGGCTGCCCTCCAATGATGCAGCTCAGCAGAGGGAGGCCGACACCGGCACTGTGTTGGCAGTGCGATCCACCATCATAGCCGCCAAGGTGTTGGACAGTCAACGCAGGCGCAAGGTGGGGGAGGTGGCCACCTTAGAAAACCCTCCGGGGTCAGAGTCAGGCCCAGACCTGCCATCTTGGGAGCTTGCCGAGCTGCAGGAGTTCCTGAAGAAGTACGAGGCGCAGGTGGCCAACTTCAACAGCTGCATCCACATGGAAGGGAAGCAGCGGTGGTGGAAGCCGGCAAGATGGGCCGGGAGACTGCAGGGCCTAGAGAGCCTGAGCGGCAAATGCCAGTGCCCTTCATGGGTGTCTCACATCACCCTGCTGGGCAAGTCCAGGACATCGGCGGCGGCTGAGTACCCCATGCCCTTGGCCAAGAAGTATGCGGCCATGGTCATCAAGGTCTTCAAGCAGAATTTGCAGCTGGAGTTCTGGAGGTACAAATGCCAGACAAAGGCGATGGAGCTCAGCCAGCTGCAGAAGAACTGGGTCAGAAGCCGTGAAGCCAAGACCCCATCTCCGGTCGAGGACAACATGCAGGTGGTCGGTTCGAAGAGAGCCTGGCAGGCGGGAGATGTGGCCAAAGACCTGGGGCCCTCACAGCTTCAGGTTTCCAAGAAAGCCAAGAAGGAGAAGGAGAACGACTTCTTCTTGGGAGGGATGAGGAACCCAGACCTGGCCGTGAAGAAGATGCACATGGTGCGCACAGTGGGGGCTGACATAAGCCGGGCATGGAAGCACTTCCTGGCGCAGCACCCCAAGGCGATCGAGATAGCCGAGAACTATGGGGGCGGAAACTGCGCTCCAGACACGGAGGTGGGAGAAGCGTGGACGAGAACTCTGGAGAAGCTCCTCAAGGCGAAGGACTTTGACGACATCGTCATGAAGGAGGAGTACGAGTTCACATCCCCCTGAACGCAAAGCTGTGGGATGCCTGGATCAGAGCTTCAGGTGATCCGGAGTGCAATGTTGTGGATTGGATTAGAAAAGGGGTGCCTCTTGGGATGAATTGCAAGATCCCTACATGCGGCATCTTCCCGGAAACCATGGAAGAAGACAACATGATCGGTGAGGCGCCGCCCATGGACTTGATGCGGGACACGCGCAACTACGCCAGCTTCTATGACCTGATTGAAGCGGCGGAAGAAGAGCTGGGGCGATACGTGCAGAAAGGCTTCGCCGTCATCAAGGACAAGAAGTGGATCACAGAGAGCTTCGGGTCCGGCACGATCAGCAAGATGGCCCTCATCCAGAAGACAAAGGACGACGGCCGGGTGAAGAATCGCGTGGTGGTGGACTTGCTGCGAAGTGGCGGTAACGCCAGGGCAAATGTGCCGGAGAGGCTGGTGCTTCCGCGGGTCATTGACGTGTTGGAGGGGGCCAGACGTCTGAACTCCAACTCCGAGGAGTACATCAAGGCTGCAAAGAGGGAAGGCTGGATGCCAGACAATGAGGCGGAGATGTACGAATGGGAGCTGGTGGGGGCTGATTTACAAGATGCATTTTGTCACTTTCCCGTGTCCAAGATGGAGGTGTCCAACTGCATCTGCCCCGGAGTCAGGCCGGACGAGTTCGTGATGTACACCGCCCTCCTCTTTGGTTTCAAAGCGGCCCCCCTCCTGATGGCCAGACTGTCAGCCATGATCTCCAGGTTTCTCCAGAGCCTGTTCCTGAGGGGAGAGGGCGTCGTGCAGACCTACATGGATGACCCCCTCTTCATCCTGGCGGGGCCGACGGCGAGGAGGAACAGAACATTGGCCCTGATCCTGTACTCGCTCTACGCGATGGGCGTGAACATTGCCTATGCCAAGGGAGAAAGGGGCCTCCGAGTCAATTGGATCGGAGTTAGCTTTGAGCTGGACCTCCCGAGGGAGCACATGAAGCTGACCATCTCCCAGCGCATGGTGAAGGAGCTCCTGACCAAGATGAAGGACTGGGAAGGAGCCGGCATGATAGGGCTCAAAGAGCTGAGGGCCACGACAGGAAAGCTGTCTTGGGTGGCCGGCATACTGCCGCGCATGCGTTGGGCAGTGAGCATCATGTACGCGGTGGTGGCAGCGGCCGAGCGAGATGCCAAGTCAGGGGCCGAGGAGGAGAGAGCAGCGAAGAGGTCAGGAGACAACCGGCCCAAACCGGATCTGGTGGCGGTCTCCCGCTTCGAGCTACCCCGGGCCTGGCTCATGAAGTTGCTCTCCCAAGCCGACCACTTGCTGCTGCGGTCGGAACCGCTGTACCCGGTGATGCCGGACCTGGCCATTGTCACGGACGCTTCACCGCAAGGCATAGGAGCTGTGCTGTGCCGCGTGGACATCTCGAAGAACCAGATCTTTCCGTGGGCTGCGCTGGAGATTGCCCTCAGGCAGGAGGACGCTGAGTGGCTGGGCGTGCCTTGGAAGGAGGCGGCATCCCAGGGGGCACTTGAGGCCTGGGCCGTCTTGTTGGCCGTGCGATTCTGGAAAACGCGGCTGGTTCAGATGCCCTTGCTGCTGAAGTCAGACAGCACGGTGGCGTTGGCGATGACGGCCAAGCTCAGCAGTCCGTCCCCGGTGATCAACTGGATCGGGGCGGAGCTTGCAATCAAATTGGAAGTGCTGGGCATCCCCAAGATGGTGGGACATCACATCCCTGGGCAGCTCAACGTCGAGGCAGACTGGCTGTCACGACCTCATGACCGTCCTGCAGAAGTTCCAGCCAGGCTGCAAGGGGTGAAGATTCACCACTTTGACGGAGACGCCCGAAGGCGTTCTGAGCTTCCGCCGCCCGGTGTGTTTCCAAAGCTGTGGGGTGTGACGACCGATTCCACCCTACGAGCTTTTGAAGACTTGTGACGCCTGCGGCTGACTGCTACAAAGGTGCTTCCTTTGGCAGCCGCGGGAGGGTAGGGGTCACAAAATCGGTTCTAACCAGTTGTTGTTTTCCCCCGTTTGTTTTTTTTGGAGGGCTTTCCCCTTCACTTGAAGACCCTTGTGAGGTTTTCGAGGTTTTCTGGGCGGGGGCAAATTCAGGCTGGCCAGCATGGATCACCCAGTCGATGTCTGGGTTGCCGACGGCCCCGAGCCATGGCCATGGGCGCTGACCTTCGTCCTGCTGGGCTGGATCGGCCTACTCTGGATGGCCGGCCATGCCTGCGTCATCTGCGGGCGCCTGCTGAGCAGAAGCACGCGCTGGGCAATGGAGGCAAAGAGGGCGTGCGTGGGTCTTTCAAGGACTTCTTGCAGAACCAGAGGAAGGCCCCTAGTCAAGCGGGGGCCAACATCACAGGGTGCCTCAGTGGAGACGCAAACAGAAAGTTCCCCGTGCTGCTTGGGGGGAGAGGAATTGAGCCCTCCCAGGCAGCGCCGTCCTCCATCATGTTTGGGAAGGGGGACCACCCCCAGAAAGGAGGGGTGCGTCTACTCCACACACCCAAGGCAATTGGGCAGCCCAGACCTGGTAAGGGCTATGGCATGCCGCGCAGGGCCCGTCTTGAGGGACCTAGCAAAAGGGAGCAGGACAGCATCCTGGGAAGGGGGAAATTGACACCATGGGCCCCCGAGATCACAGCGCCGATTTATCATGGCAGAGAACCTGAAGTGACAAGGGCACCTCAAAACGGGGTGGGCAGGTCGAACGCGCTGGATGAGGAGCGAGCGGGTCATGGTCTTCCTGCAGGCGGTCAAATGGACGGCAGGAAGGGTTCCTTCGCAAGAGCCTTGGAGGTAGCCGGCAACAAGGACTTGCTGGGCCGAGCCTGGACTGAGCTCAGCAAGGGGTTTTGGACCAGCAACACAGCTGCTGTGAAAAGATCCCGCAGGGAGGAAGTCATGAAGCTCGCCGTCATGGTCACGGGAGATCGTGAAGTGCTGCCCCTAAAGAGGCAGACGGTGGAATACGTGGCTGCCGCCCTCAAGGCAGGAGGATTGGCTTCCGCTGACCAATATCTCAATGAGTTGAAATTGATGCACGTGGAGGCCGGCTATGACCTGGAAGCATGGCTGGGCCGCACCTTTCAGCTGTGCAAAAAGTCCGTTGCCAGGGACAGAGGCCCCATTAAAAGAGCGCCCGAAGTTGACGTTGATGCACTTCATGCAGAAGCTTGGAAAGGTGTCGCAGGAGCGGCGGTCCCCCTTGGAGCCTGGGCCTACGCCTGGGGAGTGGCCTGGATGTTGAGGGAGGTGGAGCTCTCGAAAGTGAAGTGGGAGCACGTGACTTGGAACCGGGACACAAAGACGGTTCGGTTGTTCATCCCCCACTCCAAGATGGATCAGAAGGGCTTGGGTGTGGCCAGGACGCTACAGTGTTGCGGGGAATCTCCCTGCTGGAGAGGCTGCGCCTGGGCCGTCATACAAGGTTTGATGGAGCTCCGTGGACGTCGTGCAGGGCATCATGAGGAACTCATGTTTCCTAACGTGGCAGGAAACAAACCTTCAAAGACGGAGATGGTTTCCACGTGGAGGTCCATCTCGCGTGGGCAAGGCTTCTCGGTGCGCAAAGCTGTCTTGAAAGTTTGAGAAGCAAACTGCTAGACAGATTAGCACTGATGTTTTGGGTGGAAGGGTGGGACCTGCCTCAGTATTGGCTCTGCAGGTCCACCCGATTTCTAAGGGATTTGAAAGTCCCACCCACCCACACCTGTATATTATTTTCTTTCTAATTCCCCAATTTGCGGGGGTTGCAGTCCAGCCCAACTGATGGCTGCAGACCTGGAACAATTGGCCGGCACAGACAGGCCAGGTGACAGGGATCTGTCACAAATCCGCCCTTTCAGAAAAAGAAGGGTGGAGGGTGGGCAAGGCTTCTCGGTGCGCAAAGCTGTCTTATGCCTATGAGTCACCGCTGCAATTTTGCGATCTGTTGTCCTTGTAGTGACAAGATGCACTCTTGTCCCGTCTATCCCAGGAAGGTAAATTTCAAGCAGTGGACGAACTGTATCGTCAATCCATCAAGCGCAGTGAAGAGCAGCTAGGAGTTGTCCACACCACACGTGGCAGATGCAGAGAGCAAAGAACCCAAATAATGATAACAACCAAAAAGGATTTCCTGCCGTTTGTAGGCTCAGACTCATGTTGTTCTTGCGCTAAAGCTTATCTCATTCCTCAGCAATCAGTATAAAGGTAATCAGACCAAGAGTTTGAGGGATTCAGAGCTTTTGGTTGCGGATGAGCGGTCACAAGACTGACACCCTCGGCAGGACCTACACATCCATCTACGCTGACTTTGCTGAGCCGATTGGCAGTCATGCTGCAGGCATCGACAACGCAGGGTTCACAATTTATAGGTGCTATAGTGCTAAAGAATGCTTATGGATGCTTATGATTTTTTGGCCAAAGGACCCGGAAGCTGCCAAAGAAGCTCCCAAAAACAGCTGAAAATTTGATAAAATTTGGACACAGTTGGACTTTAAACTTGCTTAACTCCCCCAACTGTTATCGGAGCATGAATTCTCCTTGATGCTTCATTTAATGCAAGCACTCCTATTCTATTTTGGCCCCGCCAGTCAAAGACTCGCACCGTGTATTGATCAACTCCATTGATCTCCTTAGCGCCTTTCAATAGGACAACATCACGAAGCCAGCCCCTGCATGCACTGCATGCCTACACGTTTCTCTGCAGGAGCAAGGCAAGAGCGCTGAGGCCGAATTCTTGCAGAGGCGCCATCCACTTTGGGGTCGTAATCATGTCGTAGTCATGTCGTAGTCATTAGTTGAGGTCCAGGACCATCTGGACAACGAGGTTTCAATTCGTTCATGAAACCAGCAACCACAGCAGATTTGACCATCAAACTTATGTCATATATCGACCTAATCTATCCTAATGTAAGCCTAGTGTCAATCTTACTCAATCTTCACTTTCTGCAGTCAGAACAATCCTAGAGCAGGGTACGCCCGAAAAGCAGCAGCAGCTTTGCCACAGGCAAGCGCTCAGAGGACGAGAGCTTCTTGTCCAGAATGAGCAAAGGTTCAAATTGTTGGAAGTTGTGGGTTTTTTCATTGAAATTGAACAGTGAGACTTTAAGATGATTTCACCACACGGCGACCGATTTTGTACGGGCTAAAGGCGAGCTTCTTCCAGCAAGAAGAACCCATGGAAGTGTGCAGTGCCCTGGGGTGTTGGGGGATACCTTAGAAAGACTTGCAAACTTTTCATACATCTCGGATGTTTTAGCCAGTTAAGATTTCTGTCTCTAAATCATAGGTCTGGTTGATTTGAACAGCAACGTAGAGTAACGTAGGCGAGCTTGAATCCAGCTGAGGAAAGTATTGGGGCCATCACATCCTGAGACATTGGTGTCCAGCAGCCACTTGGGATATCTCTGCTGTTTGCGGGGGAACCTCTCTGAGGCGCGGGGTCAGATGTAGGTCCTAGAGCGTGGGCTTTGAAACCGCGCATCGAAATGAACCAAAACAGATGGACGAGTGCCAAGACCGTCCAAGACCGAAGGGAAGGAATCCGAATCACAACGAGGCCAATAATTCAGTACATATTCAGTACTTTATGGGAAGAGGAGACATCCTGAAAGAAACATAAAGAAACAACATAAAATGAGCTTTGTAACCGTTTTCCAGGCAGAGAAGCTCATCAGTCGTGCCGTAAAAGAATTGGAACAGCAGCTGGACAACTCTCATCTCCTTACTTTGGTTGCTGCTACTTGGCCAAGACAGACTCGAACAGACATAGACATTGTTCACTTGCAACAGAAAATCTGAAGTGCATTGTTTGCTTTTAGTCGAAGCATTACCTAGTGATATCACTTGGAATGTGTTCCAGTTCCCAGTGGCCAAGCCTTTCAAACATCTTAAGGCATCTTAAGACTAGAAAATGTTGAAACAGGTTCGTTTGCGACATGTTTCATCGTGTTTCCAATGTCAGATGGCAGACCGAGGTGGAGCACATGGGTTTCCTCCTCCAAGCACAAGGCCGACTGGCAGAAGCTGAGAAGTTTTTCAAGCGCACTCTACGAGGTGGGCTTTGCGTGCAAAAAACGAGTTGCTCAGAAGAAATCCCAGATCTTCTCAAACCTTGACAAATTGACCATTACCAAAACGCTCTACATATCTCTATCATATCTCTACACGGTTCCGACAGAGCCTCCGGGAGCACACCCGAGGGTTCTCCTTCACAGGTCGTGACAAACAACTTGGACAAAATCATCCCGATACAGTGCTCGCCCTGCACCATCTTGCCGCCTTCACGCAGGACGCCGTTCAACTGAGGCGGTCATCTGCCGATGTTTGGCATGCAACTCTTCCGACTGGAGTCGCACAGAATAAGATCTGAATTGATCTGATAGGTATTTAATATATTTTAAAATAATATAATTATATTATTATTTAATGGTATTTATTCATTTTATTCACAGCTCAAACAGGTATGATTATTGTTGCAAGCTTGCAAGTCTCGAAGCCCACAAGTGTTCTCTGGGCAAAGCGGGAAACTACTGAAGCAAAGAAGCGGGTTTGAGTGCCAGGAGCACAGCCATGACCGTGGTCATATGGCGGCGGCAGAGGAACTCTGGCGGCGTGCTGAATGCCCCAAAACCATTGCTGCGCCACGGGCATTGCAAAGCATCGCTGGGCTTGCAAGGAATTTGTGTCCTGGACGACCAATATTTGCATATATTTGATTATATTTGCTGATGGTCCCTAAACTTCAGAAAATAATGCTGCGTGAAGAAACGGCTTAGAAAGTCATGAACAGGCAAAGTCATGTCGAACTTAATTTTCCGTCATTCACCGACACGGCAGAGGACAGCTTGATCTCATTCTTAGTAGGAGCGGCAGTTTTGCAGTGAACAAACATGAACAAACCAAGGCGTGAGCAGAGCAAGTTCCCAGAGGCTATCGAGGTCATCAAAGCTTGTGCTGAACGCCTCCAGGACTTGGGGGCTTTGGGCACACCGACGCGCACCGACGCACGAGATACGTGAGGAATCGTGAGGATAAAGAATAATAAGAATGAATGTTGGACAACAAAGTATGTAGGTCTACCCTCCAGAAAGCAAGGCAAAATATGTAAAATCTTGTTGGTTGATCAAGGAATATCGAGGGCTTATTGCGCAAGAATCACTTTGTGACCTTCATGACCTTCGCTTTGCTGTTGTGAACTTCGCGAGAGTGCGAGGATCAAGGTCACTTGGACGAGGCGGAGACGCTGCTGCAGCGTAGTCATCGAGACAGTGGAAAGCAGCTGGGTGAACAGCACCCGGTGACGCTGAGCCTTGGCAAAGCACGATGTGATACTATACGAACCTGTACGATGGGGATTCCAGGCTTAGTTTGGATGCACTTTGAATTATATACACTTGTCACTTGTTATAATAATAATAAGAACAAGTAACAAGAATAGTAATAGAAATATATAATAATATAATATGATTTGATATGTTTGTTTCGAAGAAGCTGCAAGCTATCACAACTTTGCAGATTGGTCTTTGCGGGAGCTAGTTCGGTCTACTTTACATTTTTGTTGGTGCCTTTTGTTCCCATTATGCTTTAAATTCGACCTTATCTTTGGCAATGGTAGATTTTGATTTGTCCTCGGCAATCACCTGGCCAGCTTGGCAAATTGCAATCAAAGGTGTTTGCCAGGCTGGCGTTTTCTTTGTGCGCCCAGGACATATTTGCTGGAGCTCGCAAATGTCTTGGCAGCCAGAGCCAAACCCGAAGCAAAAGAGACCTTGAGATTAGCTGTGAAAGGTGATGGTCCCGGCTCGTGTGGGAGAGTATGGGAAAAGGTGGGAGTCGGGCTATGGAAGAGAGAAATCCACGAATGTTTCCTCAGATTTTCATGAGGTTTGCATAAGAGATGGTCCCCCCCAGCTTTGGTTCCGACTTGAAATTCGGTGTAATTCGTTCATAATCCTTCAAGTTTCTTGCATGTGGAATTCCGGAGCTGGCAGTTCACACGTGGCAGTCACCTCGATCCAAGAGAACGCGCATCCAGCGTTTTTAACTTTTAATATCTTTTAACATATGTTCACCGCCGTTCACCCAATGAGGTCGGCATGAGCAGTTGGGCCTGCAAAACGTCGACACATTGAAAGCCCAGCACTGCCTAGCCGACTATCTCAGACAGCAGGCAGGTTCCTGGACGCCGCCGCTGCTTTGCAGCCTTGGGCCCAAAGGTCTTATTTGAGCGACGGGACTCTGTTTCACCTGAGATAATTCAACTGCAACCTATTTGAAAACCGCGCATTCAAGTTCAAAATGTGTTATCGTTTTTTAGTCATCATAGTTGTCTTCCGCAACTGTTGGTTTCAAGATTTTGTATAGAGATGTTTCGTACACGTATACCATCATATACCTGGTGCTTTCGGAGCATGACGAAAAGTGCAGCCAAATTGACAAAAGAAAATTGCAATTCAGAAAGTAAACCTTCCAACTTAAAAAAATGCAATTTCCCTATTCCCTATCAGCAGACTTCAGGGAAATTCTGATTTAGCATCAGTCTTGTTCAGTCTTGTTGAATTTGTCTTGTCGATTCTGTCTTGTCGAAGAAGCATGTTTCATGATGTTGGGATTTTCATGGCGCAGAGTGTTTCAGTTGCAGTTCCATTGCACCTTTGCCTTGCACAGGCTGAGATCGAAGCAGAGCAGCTATTGAAGCAGATCCTGGAAGGCTTGGGAAGTTGAGATGCCTATGCCAAAATTTTGTATACGGCAACTGGGAAGATTCTGAAGGTTGAGTCTGTGCATGGTGATCTGTTTGCAAAAAAATGGCTCGCGCGGAAGAATTCGGAAGAATTCTTGGGACCTTAATCAAACCTTCCTACGTGCGTCACACAAAACTAACTAATAGTGACTATATAGTGACTTGATGTGCACATAGATGTGAACGGCGAAGGGAAACAAAATTTGTTTTGCCACAAGGATGCAAACGAACACTTTGAGTATGCCATGGTAATCCCTTCTCCCGAATGTTGAATGCGTTGTTTTTTGAAAATGTTTTTTTGGATCTAATCTGGATCTAGTCATGGTTGGACCCGCAGGGGGGATATAAATTGTGAATGAATATATTATAATATACTTGGGAAATGTGATGATATCCTGTTAATTATGAATTAAGTAAGTTGGACCCATTTTGATTTACTATATGATTCATATATTTTTCATATATGATCTTGTTTTCACTTTGTTTCTGTGCCTCCAGGCTTCGAAGCCCTGGATGAGGCCATGCCAGAGGAGTTGGAGGTGGTGGAGGCGACTGAAAGGGACAGGAGTTGAAGGCGAAATCGCTTTTCCTCTAAATTTACACAAAATTTAAAATGTATTTATGACATATTATGAAATAGAAACATATATAGTATATCATAGCATATCTATATTGGGATGTATTGGGATTGTTCTGACCCAGCGATTTTCACCTTTAAGCTGAATGCCAGGGCATCTTGTGAGCCTCGGGCCACTGTATCTCGCTCTTGCTTCTGAAGAGTAGGGTTGAGAGGAAGGGCAGCATTGCAAATTAAATGGGCTTGCTAGGGCGTTTTTTGTTTCTGTCAGCCATGCAATGCAAAATTTGCATCATGTCACAGCATGTGGCTTGGTCCAACAAACCTGCTGCTTCTTAGCCTGTGCTATGATGATCTGTTATGATCTGTTATGTATTAAAGTTTGTGGTGGTATTGACGGACATGTTCGAATGAGGGACGGGGGCACTGGATCACGGCAGCCCGGCAGCCCTTGATCACATGACATTTGCCGCAGTCCCTCGCGAATCTGGCCTTCGCAAAAGCCAAATTTGCCCAAGCGGAGGACTTTCTTTCAGCTTGCCGCGGCTATTTTGGAGCTAAGATGTTTTGGTGGTTTGGGCCTTGGCTAGGCCTTCAGTGGCTTTCAGCCAAATGGGCCGGTCACCGAGCTTTACTGCTCAATGATTCTCAATGACCTCTCGCAGGAGCTTTATCGTCGCCTCTTGGATAATGAAGATCCGCCGCCCAACCTGTCAGCTGCTGCAGCGGCAGCCAGCGCTCTGGCTACCAAGCGAAAGCTGGTGCTGGCGCTCCGTGGCCAAGGACGTCTAAGAGAGGCAGCGCTTGCAGAAGCCGTGGCAATAGGATGTTGTACGAAGTGTGGACAAGCTCTACACATTGACAGCTTCAAGTATAAAGATGTGCAACGTATTATCATCATTGTCACAAGATGTCACAAGAATCCTTCAGTGCTGTCATCAGGCAGAGGAGCTCTGTCGCGATCTTGGAGGAAAGGCTGCAGATCTCAGTCTTTTGGCCACGATTCTGGAGGAGACCAGAAGGGATGGCTTGTGCTGAATGCGGGGTGGCTATAGCACAGCAATCATCCAATGCTCTTCTTTCAGTGATTTGCACGTGTGACAAAGTGATGCATACTAGTGCATGGCATACTTATAGAATCTTATAGATACTGGACTTGTATGACAGCGACCGCCTGGGACAAAGGAAAGCGTCATTGGATCTTGGTTTGCAGGAGCAAGAAAAGATGGAAGAAGCTGAAGCCGCGCATCGTCAGGCGCTTCAGGCACACGGCGCCCGGGAAAGTGCTTTAAAAACTCAAACAACTTGAATCAACTTGTCGCACAACTTGAAACAACCTTGTAGAATGACGTTGTGGACTGACTTTGTGGAATCAAGGAGGTGCGACAAAACGACTCTGCTATGCCCAGAACTTTGCAACTGCTTCCCATTTGATCCGTTCAACTTCTCTTGCGCCAGGAACGTGAGAAACAACTGTGCAGCACCCATCCGTGGACCTTGCTTTGCTACAGTCGGCTGGCTCACGTTCTGCAGCTCAGAGGAAAGATCCACGAGGCCGGGTAGTTTTCATGGACGTCCCCTGAAGCGAAGTCACTCTTAAAGATCTTAAAGTCTCATTCGCTCTTATGCTCTTAGGCACCGCATGCAAAGGTCCGTCCAACGTTCAAGCTTGAACCCGAAATTGAGAAAGTAATGAAGTTGTCTTGTCATCTCTGTCAACGCTCTTTCGCGTCCTTTGTTTTGCACAATTTTGAACTATGATGTCCGGTTTCGTTATTTCAACGGTCTTGGGGGGTGGGGTTGAAGTGATCTAAGGCGGAAGACCCGTGCCGGCGAGCTCTGGCCGGCAGCGAGATGGAGTTGGGAAAGACCGAGACGTTGCACTACATCAACAGGCACAGCAAAGCAAGGGGAAGGGTGGAGACGTAGCCGCAGCATGAACTCAGAGGTGATGCAGCGATGAAATCACTATCTTCTTGTTTTGGGGACTTCTTTTTTGAACATTTGCTTCATATTTTTTCAACAGCAATATGCCGTTCATGTTGAACTACACGTCAGCAGCAGCTTTCCGTTAGCCTTTGGAGAAACAAAATGGAAAAAGATAAATTAAGAGAGCAGGAGAATCTGTTGGCTGAAGGATAAGCTACTAACCAGCACATGTTACACGGTGACCCCCCAAAACCACCGAAACAACGGAGCAAAATAAGTCACAAAGGAGAAACTATAGTACCTGCAGATGGCATGGGAGTAGTCGGACATACCCAAAAAACGCACACTCCCATGTCATGTGCAAAGTGAAGAAAACCAAAAAATGCATAACTGCCGTGTCATCTTTGTCATCTGTAAAGCGCCTAGAAAAATATTTCATGACATAGGACCTCTGCAATTGTTTGGGCTCTCCAAGATGCAAAACATGTCATGCGAACTAATCCACACGCTGTAGATTTCACTTCCCACATGAACAAAGAACGGGCATGTGAGACTATGTGAGTATATCTGATCTCCGTTCCAATTTTCACTAGAAAGTGGGTGCGGCCCAAACCACCTCCCCGTGCTTCATTTTGAGCCTTCCTAAACCCTTCCCTCTTGGGGGCCATGAAAATTCAAACCCCTTTTCATGGTTCGTTTTGACCCTTCCTAAACCCTCCCACCCCTTTCTTGGGACGCATGGGCAGCCCAAACCCCTCCGTATGAGCCTTTAATTGTAAATGTTAGGAACCATGAAACACCCAATGGTTCGTTTTGGCTCTTCCTAAGCCCTTCCCGCCCCTTTATTCGGACGTATGGGCAGCCCAAACCCTTGCGTGAGCCTTCCTAAACCCTTCCCACCCCATTCTTGAGAACCATGAAACACCCAAACCCTTCCCGGGACGCACTGGGCAGCTCCTCCCCATGAAACACCCAAACCTCTTTTCATGGACCCTTTCCACCCTATTCCTGGGAAGCATGGGCAGCCCAAACCCCTCCCCATGCTTCATGTTGAGCCTTCCCAAACCCTCCCCACCCCACGCCTGAGAACGATTCGAAGCAGCGTTCGACGTGGGAGGGAAAAAAGGGTTTACAGATGTTTTTCCGGGAAGCCGGGAAGTCCCAAGATCCTCCTCAAATTTTCCCATGTCATCTGTCACGTGCGCGGAAAACTAAGCCAAGCTAAATCGACCGCAAGGTCCCGCATGGAGAGTAGTGGAAACAATACAACGAAGGAGAGACCGTGATCTTCCGGCACGCCTCTGGCAGCCCCTGCGAGCTTTGGCTCTAAGGAAAAAGAGTTGATGCGCCTAGAAGTTTTATGTAAAATTGCTTGAGAGACCGGGACTTTCAGTCCTGTGAGAACAGCGAGTGGAAATTGCCACGGCCCCCGGCCCCCTCAGTACAGAATGACGAGGAGTGTAAGAGAATGAAAGGTAGGAGTTGATGTGGAAACCTCCCCCCTAGGCTTCAGCTTGGAGTTGAAGGTGGGAAATCCAGAAAATTGATGTGTATCCCAAAACGAGCCACCATGAGACCAAGTAAGAGATGGTTGAATTGGTCCTGGTTCCAGCAAAAACGGAGAAAAAAATAATAGCAAATGTGCAAGGCTCCGCCCACGGCCGTGGGGACTGAGATGAATACGACAAATCCAGAATTTCCTGCTGGGAAAAAATGCCGCTAAAGAAAAAATCGCCGGAACAGCAGGAGCTGGAATACGATCCAGAAGCGGTCGCCAAAAGGTAGCCCAAGTAGAGGATGATTGCTGTTTGAATCGTACGCGGGGCGGACATGGCAGCGAAAGATTGGATCCTGATTGGATGCACCTGAAAAGCCAGGGGCTTGCGAAAGGGCCAAAGGCTAGCTAAGGCTTGTGCCCGTGCGTAGCGTTATCAATATGTATATTATGTCTTAATTCACCGTTTTTCAATGAGAGAATCTGAGAAGTGTCTGGCTAAGGTTGGCGAAGCTGCTTCAAGCGCAGGGAAAGACAATGGAAGCTGAAGAGCTTCAAGAGAGGATGATTCTTGGCGGAGCTGTGGGATGCAGGAGGCGTTTGCGGACTACACTAACTACACTGTTGAGCAAAGGGAATGTTTCCAATTTGTTTAGAACATGCTCAGACGGCCCTGGAGCAAAGCCGATGTCAAGTACATAAATAGCTATATAATGTTATATAGATAACCAACACGGGTTAAGTTCTTGCCTGGCCACGGCCAATGAGAAGTGCTATTGTAAGAAGTGATCTGTTGGCCTGGTTCGCTTTCCTTTTTGCGGGTCCTTTAGAAACTCCACTCAGGATGCAGGACAACACCTTGACTTCCCTCAGCAACTTGGCAACTGATGGCGGGCCATATCCTTGTCCTCCATTGTATGATGCCAATCACTGCGAATCCTCATCCTGAAAGAATGTATTCATCTTCAACTGACCCTTTTAAGATGGTCTACATTAGTTCTGCTGAGTATATGAAGTTAGTATTCACTTAGTATTTTCTTATTTTTTCTGTGAGGCCACTTGGGCAGCTTGCTGCACGAGCGCGGGAAGCTGAGTGACGCGGAGAGCCTTCTGCGACGGGTGCTAGGCCGCGGGGTGGCAGAGGTGAATTGACGGAGGTAAAAAGAAGTCAGTTTCAGCAAATGTTCACGATATGGAATGATGCCAGTGAGGGCTACACTCAATGCATCTCAGATAGCATTCTCAAGGGTGAATCTCTTCTTATAATACAATATCACGGGTATATCAGGAACCCCCCCTCAAGATACCCCGCCCTGCCCCTCTTAAGTGCAGCCCAGAAACCGGAGAATCTTAATAAGGATTCGGCCAAGAAGGAATTAGTAGAAATTTAACAGCAAAGTGCCATGTAATTAGATGACCTAGTTACCCAGGGGTTCTTTTGGCCATGCAGTGTTTGACGAACATTGCGTCGGAATTCCAAAATCAAGAAACATGCCATCTAATAATGCTTTGACGCGTCATCATCACGAATATAAAGATTAGAGGACCAGATAGCCCCACATGTTAAGCCTTCCGATTGTTATGAGGCGAAGGTGATGACTTGGGATGGCGGGAGCAGATGATGATTGGATGGGAAAGAGATAGGGCGATGGATGGGTGGATAGATAGACAGATGGATAGATAGAAAGGTAGACAGACAGACAGACAGACAGACAGACCGACACAGACGGACACAGACAGACACAGACAGACACAGACAGACACAAACAGACACAGACAGACACAGAGAGACACAGACAGACACAGACAGATGGATGGACAAATAGATAGATAGATAGATAGATACATAGATAAATAGATAGATAGGTAGATAGATCGATCGATAGATAGATAGACAGACAGATAGACAGATAGATAGATAGATAGATATACAGACGGATGGATGGATGCATAGATAGATAGATACATACATAGATAAATAGATAGATAGGTAGATCGATCGATAGATAGATAGGTAGATAGATAGATAGATAGGTAGGCAGACAGACAAACAGCCTTTACACAGGGAAGCCTTTTCACACAGCAGCTTTTACACAAAGCAGATAGAGAGACAGACAGACAGACAGACAGGCAGGCAGGCAGGCAGGCAGTCAGGCAGACAGACAGAGACAGACAGACAGAAGCTTTTACACAGAGAAGCCTTTACACAGAGCAGCGCTTTTAGACACAGAAGCTTTTACGCAAGGAAGCCCTTTACACGGAAGCCGTTGCACAAGGCAGCGTTTACACACAGAAGCTTTTACACAGAGCAGCTTTGACACAAAGAAGCTTTTAGACACAGACGCTTTTACACACAGAGCAGCTTTTACACAAAAACGCTTTTACACACAGAGCAGCTTTGACGGTTCAGACTTGTTCAGAACAGCGCCCAAAGCCGTCCTGGAATCTACAGAGAGTCACCAAGCGCCGCGCCTGCCACGCGAAGCAGCCGCGGCGTCAACGACGTCCAAAGCCGTCCGGGGACTCTACAGAGAGTCACCAAGCGCCGCGCCTGCCATGCAAAGCAGCCGCGACACCAAGTTGATAGAGACAAGTTGATAAAGACAAGCTGATAAAGACAAGTTGATACAGACAAGTTGATAGAGACAAGTTGATACAGACAGGTGGGACGGTGGGAGGCGGACGGAGGACACGGATGTCGAACAAAAGTTAGAACCCCACATCGTGATGTGGGGAAAAATCAAAAACAACATTCCAAATTAATAACCCAGTGTATGCTAACTTGCACAACCTATATGCGGTTCAGGGGGTTTTTGGTATCTATCTATGGGTATATGCGATAATGGAATATAGGTTCTGGAAATCGATGTGATGTATTCATATTTTTTGGCGTTAATTGATGCAGATGCAAGAATCTACTAGCTATAAAGATTTGGTGTCAAGCATGGAATCAAACTTTGCATTGAAACAAATATTTTTTGTTTTGAAAATGTAAACTAACCCCTCCCTTCTCAAACAAAAAAAAACTACCAAAAAAAATAACTAAATGAAATTAAAAGAAAAAATAAATGGATTAAATTAAAAAAAACAAAATACATTTAAATGAAAAAAATAATTTACAAAACAAAGAAATAATTTCCAAAAGAAAATGGGAAAAAACAAATAAAAAAAATCGGATACAAACAAACACAAAGAAAAGAAAACAAAAAAACAAATCTAAAAAAGAAAAATAATAAATAGATTTTGAAAGTGAATAAATTATGTTAAAAAAACAAAAACAGATAAACGAATACCAAAAAGACAAATATTAAAATGTAAACCCAAAAAAACAAAAAACAATTAACAAATGAAAAACAAATTAAAAAAATATATATATATATATAATCTAAACAAAAAATAAATCCAAAAAATGAAATAAATGCCCCCAAAAAAATATATGTTTTATCTATTTTGGGAAAACGTGTAGGTACTTTTTTCTCTCCACCAGCAGTGAAACCACATTTTGAACATGAAAATAGGGACAAAACATGCATATTTTGTCTATGTTTTTATATTCAAAACTGGCTTTTGGGTCTGAACTAAAGAAAAAATACCTACAAGTTTTCCCCAAATAGATAATTTTTTTTTTGGCATTTATTTAATTTTTTGGATTTTATTTTTTTTTATTTTTGGAGTTTAAAATATAAAATTGTTTTTTTAAACAATATATCATTGTCTTTTTTTGTTTTTTTTATGTATTTATCTTTTTCGGTTTCATTTCGTTTTGTTGATTTATTGTTTTATTTACTTTTTAATATGTTTTTCTCTTTTTATTATTTTTTTGGGTTGTTGTTCATTTTTAATTCTATCTATTTTTATTTTTATATTTAAACTATTCATTTGTTTTTGTTTTTTGTTTTTATTTTTTCCAATTTGTATTTGTTTTTTCCTTTTTTTTTTGGTTCCTATTCATTTAAATCACGGTTTTGGAAAATAATAAAATATTGTTTTTTATTTTATTCTATGCTCATAGGTTTTTTTGAGAGAGCTGGCGCTGGCGTTGACACTGATCGGTTTGCTTGCATTTTTTCTTGACAGCCCCAATGTGCATCTAGGGTATGACTCACGCATGTGCCAGACCTGCCAAGATAAATACCAAAACCGAAAATTCATTTCGGCTACAACCCATAGGTCGCGAAAGTTAGCACCAGTGTACAAATAGTCTTGGCGGGATAGGACCACCCCTTTTGCCACAATTCCAGACAGAACCTAAAATTGGACCCTTTGTGCATGAAAATTCTGGGCGCAACCCAACTTTAGGAGTTTAGGGGATTGGCTAACTCGTTGAGGAGTTTAGGGGATTGGGCCAACTCATTGCAAAATTCCGGGCCCAACCCTAGTTTCAAGAGTGTTGGGGATAGCACCCCCAGTCCTTAACTAAAATTCCAGAAGGAACCTGATTTGAGGACGGGATAGGGCCGGACGCAGCCGTGCCAGAAAAAACAAGACCCAACCCAATTTGGAGGTTCGCGCCTTTGGCATCCCTTTGCCAAAAAAATTAAGACGCAACCTAATTTGGAGGTTTTGGTGGGTTGGACCCCCCACGTACCAAAATTTAGAATTGAACCGAATTTGACGGGTCTGGCAAACCTACCTTTGAACGAAAATGATGAACGCGACCCAATTTCAAGGGTTTGGGGCATTGGCCCCCTCCTTGCCAAACTTCCAGACGCAAACCTATTTTTAGAGTTTCGGGTCTTCTTTGCCAAAAAAATCAGGACGCAACCTAATTTGATGGGTTTGGTGGGTTGGCCCCCATACCAAAATTTTGAACGGAATCAGATTTGACAGCTTTTGTGCATTCCGGCACGCCGTACCCAACTTCCCGAGAAAATTAAACTTTAGGAGTGTGTGCCAGAATGCCGGACGGAACCTAATTGACTGGTCTATGCGATGGGCCCGGTCTAGGCGATGGATCCCTTTTACGAAATTCCCGGACGCAGCCAAATTTCAAGGGCTTCGGGGATTCAGATTCCTTTGTGCAAACGCAACCCACTTGAAGGCCAAAATTAATGTTGTGTCCGTTTTCGGCAAATCCTCTATAAGCAATTTTCCACTTATAGGGCCTTTTTGTTAAACATGAACAAAATGGTTCGGCTCCAGTATTGCCTTATTAGAGCAAGGTTTCCACAGCTGAATTCCATGGTTGTGGGAGGAGTATGTTGAGGGGAGGGTATGTAATATACCTGTGATGATATCTTTGTTCGGTATCCTCCAGGAAATCGGACGGGGTCATCCACAGGGCCACATAGATCCGAGCCTTCATCGAATTTTTATCATGGTGTCTACCTGGTGAGTTTCATTGCGTTTGGAGGCGAGCGTCAAGAGCTGCAACCGCAACACCTGGAGACCTTTGCTGCCGGCTGCGCACTGGCTGCGGTGCTGAAAGATGCAGGGAACATCGAGGAACCAGTGAAAGGGAAGGGGGACATTACATGGGAAAATATGGGAAACTATGGGAACAAGGCCGGCGCAAGGGAAACAAAACAAACGTGAAGGAGGGCAAGCATGGAATATTGATAGCGAAGCTGTGGCCTTGGGATGGGGCTGCAGCCGAAAGGCAGTGATGATGATGCTGATGCCGATGAAGATGAAGAAGAGGAAGAAGAAGATGATGATGATTAGGAGAAGGAGGAGGAGGAGGAGGAGGAGAATAAGGATGAGGATAAGGATGAGGATGATGGTGATGTTGATGATGATGATGAGGATGAGGCTGAGGTTGAGGATGATGAGGTGAGGAAGAGGAAGAGGAAGAGGAAGAGGAAGAGGAAGAGGAAGAGGAAGGGAATGGACATGATGATGATGATGATGATGATGATGCGGAGGATGAGGATGAGGATGAGGATGAGGATGAGGGTGAGGGTGAGGGTGAGGGTGAGGATGATGATGGTGAGGGTGGGGTGAGGGTGAGGATGATGATGATGATGTTGATGATGATGATGCTGATGATGAAGATGGTGATGGTGATGATGGTGGTGGTGATGACGATGAGGATGATGAGGATGATGACGACGACGACGATGATGATGATGGTGGTGACGGTGATGATGGTGAGGGTGAGGGTGGGGGTGAGGGCGAGGATGAGGATGATGATGATGATGATGATGATGGTGATGATGATGATGATGACGATGATGATGATGATGACGATGATGATGATGATGAGGAGGAGGATGAGGATGAGGATGAGGATGAGGATGTTGATGAGGATGATGATGAGGATGAGGATGGTGATGATGATGATGATGATGGTGAGGTGAGGTGAGGATGAGGATGAGGATGAGGAACCGTTTAGTTGCAGAGCAGCACTCCTCATCCTTCATCCATCACGGCTGTCTCCATCAACTCAGCGCATTTCCGGACATTTCCAGACAGTGCACGCGAGTGCACTCGAGCGCACTCAGCATCGCAATGCTTCGGAATGTTTCGGAATGCCAGGAGGCTGAGCAGCTCTACAAGAGTGCACTGGAAGGCAGGGCACGAGGGATGGGTAGTCTGTGCACACCCAGAGACTGCCAGAGAGTACATGTCAAGCAAGTGGGGTCACAATTTCAAGCACCAAATATCAGGGATGAACCTTGGGGCCAAAATGATTTAGCTTCACCATATGTCATAAAATGTCAATTTCTCTTTTGCCTATAAGCTTTTAAATCGATACATTGAATAAAATGGAATCAGGCGGCATGTCATGACTGTATAGCTAATATCGCGCAGGCAAATTCAGCAAATATATATATATACAAGTAGCATGGTGATATTAATTGCAGCAGCCTGTATGAGCTGATGTAGCAGCGCAAGTTGACCAAGTTGATGTCTTGGTACGCTGAAGGGTTTTATGAGCTTTGTAACTTTTGTGTGTCTGGCATCTTCTGGCATGTTTGCTCCAGGAGAGACACTTTTTACAGCTGGCATTCACCCGTGGATTACACATCCAATTTATTTCAAAAGAGGCTGAGTCCACAAGGATCCATAAAATATGTTTTGATATCAAGATATCTCGGGCACGAAGATGTTCTGCTTGGCAAGGCTACGAGAAGCTGGATCCTTACCACGCCGAGACGTTGACAACAGCAACCGCCTTGGCGTCTCTGCGGCAAAGCCTGGGAAAGCCTCACAAAGCTGAGGAGATTGGCAGCGATGGAACAGTCGCGGCAAGTTACGGGTCAACTTTTGACTTGGTGCTGGAATCTCTTCATTGAATGGCCCAAACGCGTCAAAACTTTACCTTTTCCGAACCCGAATAATTGCTATAGTGTTGCAAGCAGTCGAGCAAAGTTTGAAGTTTGAACCACCTAAACTGATCGACCTGCGACGGATGGCACGGAGGGCATGCATGGCATCGCCGCTCCAGGATCTCTTCCGTCGGGTGCTGCAGCGGCGTGAAGAGCAGCTGGGTGCGAAGCACTTGCAGACGCTGGCGGCCGTGAGGAATTTGGCGAAGAATCTTCGAAGCCAACAGAAGTTCCAAGAAGCCGAGGTCCCGTCATCATGTAATGTTCCGTCCTGATTTGCTTGGACCCCCCTGCAAACGAATCTTGCGCCCTCTTTAAAAGTTGGGTTTCAAAAAAACGATCTGTTCTTCAGAAAAATACGACCCTACATTTGAGTAAGGATTGTAATCGGCGACAATTGAAATTTAATTAAAGCCTTTTTTTGCCGATGAACTTGTGATATTTGTAGTATTTGCAATACTTGTAGTGAATGGGGTTCAGCATGCTGTTTGCGTTACCTTTTCCACCTCAGTTTTTAAAATTGAAAGTGTAATAAGAGAAAGAAGAAGAACAAGAGAAAGAGAAAGAGAGAAAGAGAAAGAGAGAGAGAGAGGAAGAAGAAAAGGACGAGCATGAAGAGGAGGAAGAGGAACGGGAAGGGGAAGGGGAAGAGGAAAGGAAAGAAGAAGGGGAAGGAGAAAAGGAAAGAGCAAGGGAAAAAGGAAGAGAAAGAGGAAGAGAAAAAGAAAGAGAAAGAGAAAGAACAGGTTGCTTTTGTAAAAGGCGTTTCTTTCTTCTCTTGGCTTCAGGATCAGCTCTGGAAAAGTTTGCTGCAATTGTGAACCCTGGGAAAAAACCCTCTGGAACAGTTTGCTGCAATGTGAACTCTGGGAACAAACCTGCTAAAGCGAATTAGGCCCTCTCATGGCCCAGTGCCTTGGAAATGTGTGGACAAACTGTTCTTTAATAAGGGCTTAATAAGCGGTCTGATTCTTTTGGGAAAGGCTTAGGCTTTGAACTGCTTTGAACTTGGCAACTGCTGTGGAAAAGGCAAACCCTAGAAACAAACCGACTAAAAAAGTGAATTGGGCCCTCTCATGGCCCAGTGCCTTGGAAATTTGTTGACAAACTGTTCCTTAATAAGGGTTTAATCAGCGATCCGATTCTTGTGGGAAAGGCTTAGGCTTTGAACTTGGCCATTGCTTTTGGAAAAGGCCTTCCTTTCTTTTCTTGGCTCCGGGATCAGCTCTGGAAAAGTTTCCTGGGAACAGACCTGCTAAAGTGAATTGGGCCCTCTCATGGCCCGATGCTTCGGAATTTTGTGGCCAAGTTGTTCTTTAATAGGGTTTTACAAGCGGTCTGATTTTTTGGGGATATGCAAGCAAACAAGATTTTTCCAGAAAAAATGTCATTCTTTCGACCCAAACATTGTTTTGACATGTTTTGACGAAAAAGTTGGTCTGCCAAGAATTCTTGCCACAATAGTGAATCTTCCAATCATTACATGGGTTCCATAATTTGTTTTTTTTGGCACAATAGCGATCTAGCTACTAGTCACGATGCAACAATAATTGTCATGTTATTGTTGTCTTATGTTCAGCAAAATTCTATACAATGCTAGCGGAAAGGGTTTTAATATTTACTGCAGGAGTCTTTTAAAACCGGGCCTCGTGGTTCATTGTTCCTTCGAGCACCAATGATTTTTTTTGAGACCACAAGCATGTCAGCATATGGATTTCTGTTGATCCAAAACGTCAAATATGTCGAATGTTTCATGTTTCGTGACGTTCACTTCTCAACGCAGGACCTCCATTGGCGGGCTATGGAGGGCTACGAAGATCAACTAGGTAAGTCCCATCCCGAGTCCTTGCGCGTCACCAGCGACCTTGCATCATTGCTGCAGGACCAGGTGTTTCCAGCTTGGAACTGCCCCAAGTTGCCATAGAAATGAAGCAAAACCATGCAAAAGCGCATGATATGTTGAAGAAAATTATTGATTTCTATGATTTCTTATGGTTTATGATGCTTTCACGATATGGTTCGAGCGTGTTCGAGCGTCAAATGTATTCCTCCACTTGAACTGAATCTCGAATGACTCGAATGACTCGAATCCATTCGCAGCCCGATCCCAGGAGGTCAATGAATTGGCACAGGCACAGCGATTGCAACGCTTCGTTTGGGAAGAACGCCAGGAAACCTTGGGCGCAGATCATCTTGAGACGTAACTCGGCACTGGAAAGGCCACAAGAAACACATAGACATGTGTAGAAATGCAAACAAATGCAGTAAAACCTTGTAAGGATCACCTAAAGCGCCATCTTCCTAAATAGTTTATGATAGTTTGAACACAGAACAAGTCCATGTTTCGGTTGTTACTTTTGTTTCAAGCCCAAACGCAGTTGCGTACGCTGCATACAATTAATGTATGTATGTTGCATATATCATATATGAACAATCACAGCTCTTCTATCACCACCCAAAAGGCTCAGCAGCTGCTACGCCTTGGCGCAATTGTTGGAAATGCGTGGTGCTGCGGAAGAGGAGGAAGTTGAAGAAATGCTGCGAAAGGTCTTGGAAGGCGCTTGTTCAAAATGGATTCGGCGCGAATCACACATTGATCAAACGTTAGTCACACAAGAAACATCCAGAGACATCCAAAAACATCCAGAAACATCCAGAAACATCCAGAAACATCCAGAAACCACATCGGGAGTGAGTTGCGTAGCTGCATGTCTCTCCATGCTTGAATTGATTTGTGCAAGGCCGCGAGAAGCAGCTGGGTTTGGTCAATGAGGAGGTGCAACATGACGAATTCCCTGCAGAAGTTGTTGCTCCATACGTTGCAGACTACAATCAAACCGCGTGTGATTGTTTCCCATTTTTTGTCCATGTTTGATGATCTTTTCGTCACGGTTTTTGTCACATTCTGTCGTTCTGTGGCCCTGTAGGTCTTAGAGGTGCTCGGTCGTTTGGCGGACTTCCTTGAGAAGTTGGGTGATGTCACAGAGGTGCCGTGCGCGAGTATTTCACAGTGAAACAACTGTGAAACAAAAATGAAAAGGTTCAGCATTTTTCCGCTTGTAGTCTATTAATGCTCTTGGGATGGCGTAAGTTCTGACATGTTCTGAAGATGTTCGTAGATTGAAGAGGTTTGGTAACTCAACGCTGATGGAGTAAGTACTGATTTGTTGCATGCATGCATGCCAGAGCGTAAGCATCTGTAAACACTCAGCTTACTAATTATGTTCTGTCGCTCTTCAGGTTGGCAACTTGCACCTTCCATTGTCCCTGCCCCCAGGCGCAAAAGTTGTACATGCGGGAGCTCCAAGGTATGGAGGTGCATCGGACCAGTAAAAGTGAGGTAAAGTGTGTTTGTGCTTGCGTGTGCCAATGTTACAGCCCGTCCTGTTGATAAATGATGAATGATGATACCACTGAGCGCAACAATCTATGGAACCTATTGGCCCACATGTGCCCAAGCAACAGTATATCACATCACAGCGGTTTTGCTTGCGATGTTGACATAAAGAGATTACAATCTGAATGTGTTTTTTTGACGAGTCAGACAATGGTGGTGCCAACTTGCCGTGCGTGATATCGTAGGTTTTAATTTAAGATGATTTCAGTTACAGGCCACAATGTGCCTGATCCGTTTCAACAAAGGTTGGCCAAAGCTATCAAGGAACTTTAATCTACGGATAGGTCATGAGTCATTGCCATCTTCAGGAGCTCTACGGCGTCAGTCACAAAAAGACTCAGCAGAGCCGCCGCAAGCTGGAGACTTTTCTCAGGTGCAAAGTGGGGGATTCCGCTGGCCAATCAGCAGAAATCTCGTTGCACTTCGTTGGGAATTTGGATGTTGGAAAATTCACAGTTGCCAGGACGATCCGAGAGTCATACCCAGAGGAGGCAGAGACTGAGGCTATATGCGCAGCTGCTCGCACACTCACCCCTGGCATCACTTGCAATTAAGGTGTCGGTTTGGAAAGTGGAATGGAAACACGATACTTGACTTCTGATATCTTCACTTCAAATCAAAGAAGCATGCAACAGTCCTATACAGTCCTCACGTGCCAGCTGCTGTGTGGCAAATCCTTCAAGAAATGGGATACAGTGGAACCAGTGGATACAGTGCCAGATTTTTAGCTCGTCCCCTGGCAGTCAGATGTGGAACAGGGTATTGCTTCTGCACTGAGCTGCGACCGACAATTTCAATTGATGCCATTAATTTTTTTCATGACTGCATGTAAGACTAGCGCCTGGAATAAACCGAAGATCAACTATGCGTCTCTTTGTATTGCAAACTGTATGTATATCAATGTGTATATTATGTGTATAGTATATTATAGTATATTGTATGTATCTTGCGGATTCTTGCGTATGTATATTGTTTATGTTTATTGTATATACAATATATTTACAGCTTGTGTGTGTTTAATATACTTGTACGGAGAGGATTGATGAGCCCTGTCAGGGCGTCAGCAGGACAAATTCCGATCAGTCTCGTGCTTCCGTCTGAGCCCCACAGTGCAGGTACAGTCTCGTGTTTGTAAAGCGACCCTCGAAAAGTTGGACGATTTTTGAGTTTTTTGTGTGTTGCTTCGACCAAAGTGGGTTGTTTCGACGGTGCTTTGGTCACGCTCCCTTGAGGACTCGGATCAGCGCTCCAAGGTAGCTGCGGGTTGATTCTGAGCAAAGTTTCAATAAAAACTGGAACTGACCAAAGTACCGGAAAAGGTTTGTTTGAAGTTTTGAATGTCCAATTGTCTCATCATGGGAACATCCGTTTGTGTCATCATTCACGGCCTTCAAGTGACATTCTGTGGCTATGTGGAAAACGGTGGAAAGCTTGTCTTGATGTTGGGGGCACTTGCCATCCACAATGCTACAATTCTTTTGGAGGATGATGGAGAGGAACCGGGGGAACCAGAGGAACCTGAGGAACCGGAAGAAGTGGGGGAAGCAGGGCCCGGTTTTGCCGCGAGTTGCTTCATGGTTTTCATGTCACCAATTATCGGGGCAATGAATTCCCCTCTAGACTGTCTTTTAATACCCATCAATATCCTCTATCTCACCAGATTTTTGACATACACTAAATGTCCAAATCACACCACGCGCACGTTTTCCACACTGTCGCAAGATGTGCCCATTTGGATGCAGCATGCGGTCTCAGCACCAACGAACCAAGCACGGCCCTAGACATCAACTAGTCATCACTTCAGTCGTCCCTCAGGTCGTCCCTCAAGTCATTCCTTGTTTTCATTTGACAATATAGATGCAGGATCTGCTAGCGCTTTGGCGGGTCAAGGTTCATGTTTTGCTTTGAGGTTCAAGGGAGTTCAGGTCATGCTTGCCCCAGATTAACCATCATGATTGGGCTCTCTTTCTATTACAGTACTGTAGTAGAAATCAGACATATCAGTTGGCTCGGCGAAAGACAGAAATTGCAATGGAATGAGGTAGAATGTGGATAGTGGAAGGGAGAAACCTTGTAGGGAAGGCAGGAGTGGGAGAGCAATAGGTGCCACATTCGAAAAGATTGAGATTTTACAGGCCTTAAACTCGCATGGTAGAAAAGGAAATGCAAAACAACATGAGAGTCTTGCTGCAACGAACAGCTCTCAACAAGCATCCCAGGACGACGACATTTCAGCAGACCGCAAGAGCGTGATGACCTTAGACTACCAACGAGAGCGCCCTTCATTCCTAGAATATCCTAGAATGTTTCTGATGAGCGTGAAACAGCACTGGTGTTAGATGGTGTTAGGATGTTGCGCCGTCCAGAAAGGCAGGATGGCTTTGGAACATCTCGCACATACTACATATTGTATTATATTGCATTTTGCTCTTGACGGAGCAAAGAAACAGATGGGCATGAGCAATGATTGCCAAGGAAGCAAAGACTGACCATCGTTCTTGCCAGCAGTGGTTCCATGTGAATTGATTGAAATGTCATTGGCAGGCCTCATTGGGTCCTTCCTTGTACCAGGAGGCTTTTCACAGAATGGATGATGTGGGAAGGTAACTTGTCATGGACAATTGTTGTGTTGCAATGTCTTGCAGGCACTAGATCCTGAGGACTACGAAACACGTTCTGACAGAGACATTGAGGCATCTTATGCTGCAAATGTCTTCAGTGGTTGTTCGTCGCTGAAAAATATAGCCCACAAGCCTTGGCCACGGCATGTTGGTACTCAACAGGAGGGTGACGTACCTGACAGGAAGAGCGTGGTGACCTTAGCACATAGCCCTTGCCATTTATTTATAGTACGACATTTTGTCGTTTTAAGACGTTCAAAACTCTTGCTTTCTTGGGGCAGGATGGTGTTTCAACATCCAGAAAGGTGGCAAAGTTGCAATTGCAGCAATGGCAGAAATTGAGATGTTTGAGAATTTCTTTGCTTTGTGATGCTTTGTGATTGGCTAAATAGAAAGCTGATGACAGCAGTGCATTACATAGCTGGCGGCCCATTACAGTCTTTCAGTGCATTTGGGAGGCTTCACTGGGTCCTTCATTATACCAGGAGGCCCTTCAGAAAAGTGAAGATGCGGTAAACCTCCATAGATTGCACTACCAACCTTCGCCGCAGGCTCTAGATCCTGAGGACTATGAAACAAGATCCGATAGGGATGTTGAGGCATCGTTCCTCAGAATGCCTTCAGCGGTTGTTGATTTATGTTCCGTCGCATGGATCACACGTCCACTGCACTTGTGACGAGAGCGCCAACAGAACTTAGCCATGACATGCTCGTAGCCCGTAGGACGACGACATTTCAGCAGACCGCAAGAGCGTGATGACCTTAGACTACCAACGAGAGCGCCCTTCATTCCTAGAATATCCTAGAATGTTTCTGATGAGCGTGAAACAGCACTGGTGTTAGATGGTGTTAGGATGTTGCGCCGTCCAGAAAGGCAGGATGGCTTTGGAACATCTCGCACATACTACATATTGTATTATATTGCATTTTGCTCTTGACGGAGCAAAGAAACAGATGGGCATGAGCAATGATTGCCAAGGAAGCAAAGACTGACCATCGTTCTTGCCAGCAGTGGTTCCATGTGAATTGATTGAAATGTCATTGGCAGGCCTCATTGGGTCCTTCCTTGTACCAGGAGGCTTTTCACAGAATGGATGATGTGGGAAGGTAACTTGTCATGGACAATTGTTGTGTTGCAATGTCTTGCAGGCACTAGATCCTGAGGACTACGAAACACGTTCTGACAGAGACATTGAGGCATCTTATGCTGCAAATGTCTTCAGTGGTTGTTCGTCGCTGAAAAATATAGCCCACAAGCCTTGGCCACGGCATGTTGGTACTCAACAGGAGGGTGACGTACCTGACAGGAAGAGCGTGGTGACCTTAGCACATAGCCCTTGCCATTTATTTATAGTACGACATTTTGTCGTTTTAAGACGTTCAAAACTCTTGCTTTCTTGGGGCAGGATGGTGTTTCAACATCCAGAAAGGTGGCAAAGTTGCAATTGCAGCAATGGCAGAAATTGAGATGTTTGAGAATTTCTTTGCTTTGTGATGCTTTGTGATTGGCTAAATAGAAAGCTGATGACAGCAGTGCATTACATAGCTGGCGGCCCATTACAGTCTTTCAGTGCATTTGGGAGGCTTCACTGGGTCCTTCATTATACCAGGAGGCCCTTCAGAAAAGTGAAGATGCGGTAAACCTCCATAGATTGCACTACCAACCTTCGCCGCAGGCTCTAGATCCTGAGGACTACGAAACAAGATCCGATAGGGATGTTGAGGCATCGTTCCTCAGAATGCCTTCAGCGGTTGTTGATTTATGTTCCGTCGCATGGATCACACGTCCACTGCACTTGTGACGAGAGCGCCAACAGAACTTAGCCATGACATGCTCGTAGCCCGTAGGACGACGACATTTCAGCAGACCGCAAGAGCGTGATGACCTTAGACTACCAACGAGAGCGCCCTTCATTCCTAGAATATCCTAGAATGTTTCTGATGAGCGTGAAACAGCACTGGTGTTAGATGGTGTTAGGATGTTGCGCCGTCCAGAAAGGCAGGATGCCTTTGGAACATCTCGCACATACTACATATTGTATTATATTGCATTTTGCTCTTGACGGAGCAAAGAAACAGATGGGCATGAGCAATGATTGCCAAGGAAGCAAAGACTGACCATCGTTCTTGCCAGCAGTGGTTCCATGTGAATTGATTGAAATGTCATTGGCAGGCCTCATTGGGTCCTTCCTTGTACCAGGAGGCTTTTCACAGAATGGATGATGTGGGAAGGTAACTTGTCATGGACAATTGTTGTGTTGCAATGTCTTGCAGGCACTAGATCCTGAGGACTACGAAACACGTTCTGACAGAGACATTGAGGCATCTTATGCTGCAAATGTCTTCAGTGGTTGTTCGTCGCTGAAAAATATAGCCCACAAGCCTTGGCCACGGCATGTTGGTACTCAACAGGAGGGTGACGTACCTGACAGGAAGAGCGTGGTGACCTTAGCACATAGCCCTTGCCATTTATTTATAGTACGACATTTTGTCGTTTTAAGACGTTCAAAACTCTTGCTTTCTTGGGGCAGGATGGTGTTTCAACATCCAGAAAGGTGGCAAAGTTGCAATTGCAGCAATGGCAGAAATTGAGATGTTTGAGAATTTCTTTGCTTTGTGATGCTTTGTGATTGGCTAAATAGAAAGCTGATGACAGCAGTGCATTACATAGCTGGCGGCCCATTACAGTCTTTCAGTGCATTTGGGAGGCTTCACTGGGTCCTTCATTATACCAGGAGGCCCTTCAGAAAAGTGAAGATGCGGTAAACCTCCATAGATTGCACTACCAACCTTCGCCGCAGGCTCTAGATCCTGAGGACTATGAAACAAGATCCGATAGGGATGTTGAGGCATCGTTCCTCAGAATGCCTTCAGCGGTTGTTGATTTATGTTCCGTCGCATGGATCACACGTCCACTGCACTTGTGACGAGAGCGCCAACAGAACTTAGCCATGACATGCTCGTAGCCCGTAGGACGACGACATTTCAGCAGACCGCAAGAGCGTGATGATCTTAGACTACCAACAAGAGCGCCCTTCATTCCTAGAATATCCTAGAATGTTTCTGATGAGCGTGAAACAGCACTGGTGTTAGATGGTGTTAGGATGTTGCGCCGTCCAGAAAGGCAGGATGGCTTTGGAACATCTCGCACATACTACATATTGTATTATATTGCATTTTGCTCTTGACGGAGCAAAGAAACAGATGGGCATGAGCAATGATTGCCAAGGAAGCAAAGACTGACCATCGTTCTTGCCAGCAGTGGTTCCATGTGAATTGATTGAAATGTCATTGGCAGGCCTCATTGGGTCCTTCCTTGTACCAGGAGGCTTTTCACAGAATGGATGATGTGGGAAGGTAACTTGTCATGGACAATTGTTGTGCTGCAATGTCTTGCAGGCACTAGATCCTGAGGACTACGAAACACGTTCTGACAGAGACATTGAGGCATCTTATGCTGCAAATGTCTTCAGTGGTTTTGCAATGTTGTGCACAGACTGCTGTGATCTCTTTTTCTTCAGGATACGCGGTCAGACGGGGACATACCAGAGGCATGACTTGAAATCAAGAAATGCAGGACATGCCATGATATCAATGATTTTAGGCAACTGTGTTTAACTTCGGACGGTATGTTTGATGGTATTGGTACTTTCCATGAATATTCCCAGGAAGCATGCTTCACGTTTGCAGGCTAGTGGCGATACTACGGATTGACAATTTTTGCAGGCCAGCTGCCGGTAAAAAGCTCCAGCATGATTCAAGATGTGAAAGGCAGAATGCCTGAAACCGCATTGTCTGATAATTACACGCGCTGAGACTAATTCCTCTCTGCAATTCTTGGGTGCTAGCGCCAATCTCAGGAACGGCAACCTTGTCCAGACTGAGGTTTCATCTGCGGCAGCCCTCATAGCAGCCTTTGCCGCCAGAATTTGCTGTTCTGGACATACGATGCGAAGCAGGATGGCCATTTGATTTCTGTCGTCTTTATTCAAACACTTATGCTGTTTGGACCATAGACTTTTCTCAATTTGTTCGGTGTGAAGGAGGCGTCTGGCCACGAACTGCAAGCATTTTGCTTGGGTCAAAGTTCCCTATGAGCTCATGCCATTCCATCATGTTTTCGGAAGCGCAAAATATGTCCACAAAAGCCATCAAAAGCCAGTATAGTGATTTATAGTGTGGAATTTGCAATGTTTGGTCTTCGCATCAAAGTTGTTTCGCATGGGCTTTGCAACCACGAGCTACAGTCTCCCGTTTCCAGCTGCGCATTAGCTGCGTTCCATTGCAGACGCTTGGACAGTTTGGTCACTAAGTTTCGATACCCTGAGAACATCAACCCATTAGGTAGGATGTGACTGATGTGGACCCTACAGAAGACAAGATACATTGACTTTGTTTCCGTGCGATTGGGACATTGGGACACTAGGTTGTCCAACTTAGGACCAGTTAAGTCCAGTCGATGACATAAGGAGTCTCCTTTGACTGGAGCTCCCGTCAACTTTGTTAATGTTGAAACCAGGATCGATGCAAAGCATCTATACCGTCTATACCCTGGAGATTCCTGTAGGTTGCAAGACCGAGACAAAATGAAACAAATGAAACAAGAACAGAATGAACAGAGCAATGAGGGCAGTGTAGGTGCAAGCCTTGGTGGTAGAAGGCCCGGCTTATTTTGCATATTTTGCATGACATTGCTACGTCCACATCGTCCACGCTGATTTTTCTGACATTTCTGTTGTCACTTGGTGGTTTTATGTTGTTGTTGTTTTTTATGTTGCGCAGCTTTTTCAGAGCTGATGAGCCTTGGAACACGTGTTTGGCCGCACTTCTGGTCCAAAGGGCTGATCACACGGAAGTCCCTTGCCTTTCGATTTGATGTCCTTTACCCTATCTAGCCTACATCAATTCTGAGATCAATTTGTTCCTTTAATTGGAGCAGATAGAGAAACTATTCATTTTGAAATGAAAGCACACAAGTGATGAGTGCTGTCAAGCGTCCTCTGGAGAACCCCCAGCTGTCACAGCACATGTCAAGAGTGTAAGGGTGCTTTTTGGATGGCTCACAGCAATGGCAGCGGTGACAACATTTTTTTGCAAGTAGCATTGCTTTCGGAGGCTGAATGGTACCTGTAGTGAAGGGCTGTATTTGTTGAGTTGACGACCTCCCACACACATACAATCCTTTTCGCAGCTATGGTCAGGGCAAGGGACCCCAGGTGATACCTCTGGTGCGTGCAGATGAAGTACCCGAGCTCCATCCCCGCAGCCACGGCCTAAGGGCGCTCCTGGACCAGCGTCATACTTTGTGAAGTTTGATGCAGTGCTGCCGGCAGCTCCGAGGCGTGGGTAGTTTTAGCAAGGGTACCGCCGCGTCCACGGCGTTCAGCGAAAAGCCGGGTGGACTTTCATTTGAAGAAAATTGTGTGGCTTGAACGGCCGGGTGTTCCGCAGTAATTGCCTTCCTGATGCGAAGATACTTGGTGGAAGTTGTAGCTCAGGAAATTTTGGGAAACTGTGTGACTTGAACAGAGCCATGGCCTGGTTGACCATCCCAGTAATTTCATGGTTCTCGCAATGCATTATTTTCAGACATCATGTGAGACAGGACCTGTCGATTTTTGTACCTGTGCACTGTCCGAAGATTACCACTCGCCATGCCACTGGACAGGCCCCAAAATTTGTTTGTCCAGCTTCATTCGTGCGTAGCGCAAGAAAGCTGCAAATTAACTTCTGTGCGCCCCAATGCCGCGCCACTGCAGACAAATCTAAATCTCAGGTCAAGAATTTCGCAGTCTCTTGGAGCTCAAAATAGCTGGTGGATTTGGATTAGGCAAAAACCTACCAATAATGAGGTCACAATGCGGAAGGCAAGCTTCCCAAGAATAGGACGCCTATTGGAAATTCATTGCCTGCAGGAGGGCTGGGTGATCGCATGCATGCGTGACTGAACTGCCATGGGTCGACCTGTGTCCTGACTGATTGACTTGTCCATTGACTCACTGACCAACAAATTAAGCTTCCATCTCAATAGCTGATAAAGTAGCTAACTGACTAACTAACCAGCTAACTAGCTAACTAACTGACTACCTATCTAACTGACTACCTTAGCTAATTAGCTCACTAAGTAGCTAACCAGCTAACTCACCCATTCACTCACTCACTCCTCAATCACTCATTAGCTCGCTGCCTAGCTGACTACCAAGCTATAGCTGTGTGACTACCTGACCAACAAAGTAAATACAGTACCTAACCATAGTTTTACCCGAGTGACTCACTAACTACCTAACTCGCTAACTTAGTTTCTAAGGAACTAACTTGCTAACCCACTGCCTCGTTACCTACCTAAACTCGTTTGCCCTGACTAGCTAACTGACTAGCTAACCAGCTAACTAAACAACCAACCAATCAACCAAACAAATAAACAAACAAATTGATTAATGAAGTAGCTAGGCATACACTGTCATACACTAAAGTGACATACACTGTCATACACTAAAGTGACATGTCATACACTGCCATACACTAAAGTGACATGTCATACACTGTCATACACTAAAGTGACATACACTGTCATACACTACAGTGACATACACTGTCATACACTACAGTGACATACACTGTCATACACTAAAGTGACATGTCATACACTGTCATACACTAAAGTGACATGTCATACACTGTCATACACTAAAGTGACATGTCATACACTGTCATACACTAAAGTGACATGTCATACACTGTCATACACTAAAGTGACATGTCATACACTGTCATACACTAAAGTGACATACACTGTCATACACTAAAGTGACATGTCATACACTGTCATACACTAAAGTGACATACACTGTCATACACTACAGTGACATACACTGTCATACACTACAGTGACATACACTGTCATACACTAAAGTGACATACACTGTCATACACTAAAGTGACATGTCATACACTGTCATACACTGTCATACACTAAAGTGACATACACTGTCATACACTAAAGTGACATACACTGTCATACACTACAGTGACATACACTGTCATACACTACAGTGACATACACTGTCATACACTAAAGTGATATGTCATACACTGTCATACACTAAAGTGACATGTCATACACTGTCATACACTAAAGTGACATGCACTGTCATACACTACAGTGACATACACTGTCATACACTAAAGTGACATGTCATACACTGTCATACACTAAAGTGACATGTCATACACTGTCATACACTAAAGTGACACACACTGTTTTACACTAAAGTGGCATGACATACACTGTCATACACTAAAGTGACATACACTGTCATGCACTAAAGTGACATGTCATACACTACAGTGACACACACTGTCATACACTAAAGTGACATACACTGTCATACACTAAAGTGACATACACTGTCATACACTAAAGTGACATACACTGTCATACACTAAAGTGACATGTCATACACTGTCATACACTAAAGTGACATACACTGTCATACACTAAAGTGACATGTCATACACTGTCATACACTAAAGTGACATACACTGTCATACACTAAAGTGACATACACTGTCATACACTACAGTGACATACACTGTCATACACTAAAGTGACATACACTGTCATACACTAAAGTGACATACACTATCATACACTAAAGTGACATACACTGTCATACACTAAAGTGACATACACTGTCATAGACTAAAGTGACATGTCATACACTGTCATAGACTAAAGTGACATGTCATACACTGTCATACACTAAAGTGACATGTCATACACTGTCATACACTAAAGTGACATGTCATACACTGTCATACACTAAAGTGACATACACTGTCATACACTAAAGTGACATGTCATACACTGTCATACACTAAAGTGACATACACTGCCATACACTAAAGTGACATGTCATACACTGTCATACACTAAAGTGACATACACTGTCATACACTACAGTGACATACACTGTCATACACTAAAGTGACATACACTGTCATAGACTAAAGTGACATGTCATACACTGTCATACACTAAAGTGACATGTCATACACTGTCATACACTAAAGTGACATGTCATACACTGTCATACACTAAAGTGACATGTCATACACTGTCATATACACTAAAGTGACATGTCATACACTGTCATACACTAAAGTGACATGTCATACACTGTCATACACTAAAGTGACATGTCATACTACGCAACTAAGTAACCAACCAACTAAGTCACAAAGTGAATGATTAACCGAGGAACTATGCAACTAAGTAACTTATTGACTAACTAAGTAACTAAGTAACTTGGTATCTAAACAACTAACAAACCAACGAACTAACCAACCAATTGACTGACTGACTGACTAACTAACTCAGTGACAGACTCACTCACAAAAAAATGAACCAACGAAATGACTGACTGACCTGCAAAAATGCAATGGCAGCTCAAGTACAAGCATGTGACAAGTTCAGCCAAAGAGTGCGTGGCCTTTTGATTTTGCTTCCGCTACTGCTAGTTTTTCTTTTTGGGGGTTTGATTTCTCCCTTTGCACAGCCTTTCTTCTCTTTGCTGGAGTTCAACAGCCCGACTACCGGCCCAGCTGCCATTGGCTGTTCCCTTGTACAACCACAGCGGACTCCATTGTGAGCCAGCTGGCTAGCCGGGTGGCTGTGCCAGAGGTTCCAGAATCCTTGGCGGGCATTGCATACT